TTTTGAGAATGTTATTTTTTTGGGGGTAAAAAATTGTTCGCTGCAGGTATTTTCACCATCCTAATGTGTCAAATATTTCCTTGCTTTATCTTGGCTAAGAAATCTTCCTCTTTATCTAGACTGATTTTGGACTCGACCCTTTCCTTTATTCCCCCGATCCAAGCAACTACCAAACCCCATTTATTCTACCTACACCCAGTATATCACATCCACATTGTTTTCCTCATTAAAGAAAAAACAGAGAAGAGACACACAGGTCTTTATGCTTTTCCCATGGCCCCAGGAAGGAGAGCCCATGGTAAGGCCTGCCTCCACAGAGTAACATTAAAAGAAAATAAAGTAAGTCCTGCGCTTTACTGTTATCGTCCAGTAGAAATAGCAGGTGTTAGGAATGCAAATTGACAAGACAGAGAGGCCCTCAAGATGACCCAGGAGAGGGTCTGGAGTGCAACAAACCTTCTTTTCTTTTCTTTCTTTCTTTTTTTTTTTTAGCATTTTATTTTATTATTAGTTTCAAGTATATAGCACATTGGTTAGACATTTATGTAGTTTATGAAATGATCCCTCTAATTAGTCCATCACTCCTCTGGCTGTACACCTAGCCATTTACATTACTGCTGACTGCATTCCCTATGCCGTGCTCCCCACCCCCACGACCATCTCTCAGCTACTAATTTGTACTTCTTTAACCCTTCACCCCATTCTCCCAGCCCCTCAGATCCCCGCTCCCCTCTGGTCATCACCAGATTTCCTTCTTTGCTTTTCCCCTGTCTCCTCGCCCTAATCATTCCTATTGCCTTCTTTTTCTAATACATAGAAGCTGTGTCCATGGGTGAACACAGTTTTAACACTTCTCACAGCAAAATGCAATTCATAAACGATTTTGGATTATCTATTGACTTGCATTAGAAGAAATAATTGAGAGTTGCATGTACACCTGGCATATGTCAATTGAACAGTAAAATGCAAACCTTGTTAAATTTAAAAAATTTTCTGAGTAGTTTAGAAATTCTCAAAGTCACTGGCAATTGTCTAAGCATATGTTTTATGTCAGATACTTTACCAGACTAATTAAATTTTATGGCTTCATTTTTTTTAAAGACTTTATACTTATGGCATGTTAGGCTGTGCAAGTCCTGTTCAATAATAGAATGTATACAGTAATTTTAAATTAGAAATGTCTTCTTTTTTGAAGTGTAAACAGAATCATATAGAAGTGACAGTATTTTTATTATTCTTTAGCAACTTGGAGTTAACATTCCAATATACATTTTTATAATTTACTTTGAAAAATTAGTGCTTAGTTTAAAAGGTGCTTTTTATGCCAGATTTTTGCTTGAAGAAACTAATTTGGCCAAACTTATGTGCTGTAAGAACAGATTTATAATGGAAAGGTTGACACATTTAAAAGTAAATTGGGTTTAATTTCAGAAAAATTAACATCATATTCAACTATAATAGATTTGAAAGATAAATTAAAATAATCACCTCAGAAAATTACCAATTGGAACTTTAAGAGTCTTATTCCCCCCGAGATATTGTGTATTCGGCACATGTAAATTTGACTAGATATGATTAACTGGAGACTTTAATTAACTTTTGTTTAAAAGATCAAGCCCACTTTGGGCATGCATTTTAAAAATGTAAATGTACCTGATTGTCATAGTCTCTGAATTGAGGTAATAAACAGTAAAATTATACTGTACAAGGAAACAATCTATAGAAAAGAACAAATACTTTAAATCAATTTTCCCAATACATGTAAACTGGCTATGTACTCTTAAGTATTTTTATATTTATTGTTATCAAAATATTCCATTCAGAAGCTCTAGGTGGTTTCCAACATATAGATACATTATAGTCTATGAGCAGAAACACTTCTATCTATATATTAGTTAAAGGCAAAGAAAATTAGATGCACAGATTTTTTTTTTTAAATGTGTCTTTGAATTGTTTCTTTCCTATTATGGTTAAGACTGTCAAACTGCAGACTAGTTGCTGTTTCATTCAGGTCCTTTGCCATTTAGTTGGTACAATATTTCATTATTTAAGTCAGCAGTCCTCAACGTTTTTGGTACCAGGGACCAGTGGTCCAATGAGAATCTAATGCCTGATGATCTGAGGTGGAGCTGAGGCGGTGATGCTAGTGTTGGGGAGCGGCTGCAAATACAGACGAAGCTCTGTTCACTTGCCCACTGCTGACCTCCTGTTGTGCGTTCCTGGTTCCTGGTACCAGTCTGTGGCCCAGGGATTGGAGACCCCTGATTTAAGTATTAAGTAAATAATATATTAAATAGAATTATGAATAACACTGATTGTTCATACACTGTACCTTTTGTTTAATCAAATTCAAATAATGTAATGACCAATTTTACTGAGTACATTTTCTATTCTTTGATTTAGAAAAATTCTATCTCCACATGGCTCTTCTGCAGCATAATCCTTGATAACACATGGCTCAGCTGCAGCTGTGACCCAACAATGAGGCAGTTTTATGTGTTCAAATATCCTCTTCAGTAAAACCTTAACATTACAGTTTCTTTTAGCCTACATTTGCCTAACTTGTATGAAACCACAAAGTCAACCAACTGTACCTTGACTGCGCTGTTCTCATGCATGGTGATGCAGTTATTGGCATCTTCTGAGAGCTGGTACAAGGCTTGAGCTGTTGCTCGATGCACATTGGTGTCATTTGATTTCAGGTAACGCACTAATGGAGCCACCGCTTTGTGCTCGCCAAAGGCCACTCTATTCCTGCCCCACATACAGCAACGTGAAATGGCTTCTGCTAGATGACGCCTCAGTTTATCGTTATTCTGCACGAAGGAAACAAATGGTGGTATGTGCAATATAATGATCCTGTGAGATCATGTTTATGCTCTAGATGTTTATTACCCACTAAGATGCCAATGAGCCCAGTTACTCAGGTGCTGTCTTGAAGGGAACTAGGATTTTGGTGGGTCGCCAATGTTTCAATTCTGAGTTTTCTTTTTATGAACTGGACATTGTCAGTGCACAAACAGGTGATCAGGAGTCTGGACATTGTCAGTGCACAAACAGGTGATCAGGAGTCTGGCATTTTAGATATCTGCCTGGCATCATCATCATCATCATCATCACCACCACCACCACCACCACCATTATCATCATCATCATCATCATCATCATTATTTGTTCAAGGCTCAGTTTCCTTTTGAGTAAATCTACTCACAATACAGAATTACAGATCAGCAAGTAGTTTAGTAATAAAAATAATTCGGGACATTCTTAATGGAGCATTTCAATTAACTGGGATAAGCAGATTAATTCTACTTCATCACCCTAGGAATACTTCTACGTCAGTAATACACCTTGGCTCCCTAAAGGGAGAAGACAGTGCAGCAAACAATGATGTTTTGAATCTGCCATTTTCCTTTCTGTATTCTTTATGCAGACTATATCCTTCTTTTTGGATGTAATTATATCATATAGGTATAATATAACTAAATAAAGTACAGTTTTCTGTTCATTAATTGTACTGTTCTCTTAAATAAGGCAATAACTTGGTGTCCTTAAATGAATCTGGCAGATATTCTTAGGTACTCAGTGTAAGACTAGCTCTAAAAAGTCTTCTAGACCAAGCATCCTTCCAATGATTGAATTTCTGCTCTATGACTTTTCTGCCAAGTGGTAGTGCAGCCTATGCTCAAATACCTCTGGTCATGGTGAAGTCATTATCTCTCAAGGCTACTTACTCTATCTGGCACAGCTCTGGATAAACAATACAGTGACTGCCAAAATCTTCGAGTCCAAGAATGCCATAGACCCAAGCTTGCTAAGCTGGGGGAGGCACATTTAACTCCTAAAGTTGGCATAACAATTACCTTAAGAGTAATAGTAATGATGATGTGATGACGATGATAGTTAACACTTCTACAATAACATATTTGTCACTGTTTTACTTGCCAGTGACAAATGAAAAACAGCCCCTATTTTTACAAGGATCTTGCATATTAACATTGTACACTTTAAAATACACTTTCACACTTATTAGTCTCAGAGAAATTAAATGAATTAACCAAAATTTCAAACCTCATAGGTGATGGATATTAAACTTGAATCCAGGTTTCTGGACTTGAAGCTCATTGTTTTTGCCACTACACTGTGATATCTTATGACAACATGCATTTAAAATAAAAAGATGTGTTACTTACTGTATTTGCTAGTTTGGACAATAAAGGGACAACTCCATGATCTGTAATAACAGCTAAATTTTCTTGATCTTTTGCTATATTGGTAATAGCAGCACATACACTTGCCAAAACTTCTTTATTATCTGATTTCAGCAAATTGACAACAAGTTCCAAACCACCAACAAAGGAACGAACCATTTCTCCAGCATCCTAGATAACAATAAAAATAAAGATGACATCAATAATAAACCGGTATCTAGCATTTCTTTAAAAGAAAAAAAGTAATGATAAGGCTGAGAAGTATACCTGTGGCATGAAAAACAAATTCAGTTTGACTTATTTCCATATTATATATATTATCGATGTGTGTATGTATAAAGTATGTATGTGTATATACATGCATGCACACAATTCAGTTTTAACAAATATTGACTGAACAACTATGATATGAGTCACTGTGCTAAGTATTGGAGATATAGAAGTTAACAAAATACAGTTGAATCTTTTTATTTCCAGTAGTTATGTTCTATAAAATCATCAGAGAAAGGGAATTAGTAAATACTGAACCATTGCTCCTAAGGGAAATACAAGTTTAAGTTCCTGCAAGACTCTGGTAACATTTTTTGTCAACTAATCAATATATAACCTTGTGTTATATGTGTTTCTGTTTAAAGATCTTATTTCGTATATTGTTAATTCATTAATGTTGAACTCATGGATAACATACTATAACTTATGCCTGAATGAAGCTTACCTAATACACACTTTTTCTCTGTAAGGCACATCACAGTCTTCTAGCACTTAGGGACACTAGACAGCACTTCTACACCATGCTTGGGGGACATTTTAAACAGTAAAATCTTGAACAAAAAAACCCATGAAAATGTGGAAGATGTGGCACTAAGTAGACTGTAAAATGGATGCTTATTTACAGTATGAGAGCTGAAACAAGAAGGCAGAGCATCATCTTTTTGACCTCAGCTGAAAACTTGCACATTGAGCAACTCAAATTTTTCACCATTCTGTTCATATTCAAGAATGACCAAGAAAGTGCTGTGAGTATTGATTTCAGAGTTACAAAAAAATTTAGTAAGTAGGCAAATTCCCATACAGAATCTGTGAATAATATGGATGGACTGTGTATACTCTGCTGCCATCATGTTGCTTTCAATCTGTGGCGAACATGAGTGTTAAGAAATTATGAGTATAATAAATAGCCCTAAGGGGGAAGAGGTAAAGATACCACAATACATACAACAAAGGAATCTCAGCTGGTGTGGATTCAAGGACTGCCTCCCAAGAGGATGTCTGGAAACTAAGGCCTGAGGCATAATCCAGTGTGAGGGAGAGTCTGTGTGAAAGAGTCATCATATAACATAGATCTGAAAGTGAGAAAAGTGACTTTTTTCTAGGTCACAATGGTTAGAGCATAAAATAGGAAAGGGAGAAATGGGCTAAAATGACATGTAAGAGGTGAGATCTTGAAGGGTCTCATAAGCCTTGGTACAGAGTTTAGAGTTCCTTTTAAGGGCATTTGAAAGCCACATAAGAGGTTTAAGTGTTGGGGGTGTAAGGTGGAGAGGGGATTTTTATCAATTTTCTGTCTTGGGAGATCTCTCAGAATTGCAGGGTTGAAGTTGGGGCAAGGAATGATGTTGGGAACTCAGAGGTTATTTCGCTAGTTCAGATAAGAGGTGGGCATCGTTTGGATGAGGGTGATGGTTTAGACCTGGAGAGAACAGTGTAGGTTTGTGAGGATTGATCAGAGAAGATTAAGACAAATGATTTAGTGATGATTCCTTTGTTTCTGGCTTGACCTAGTGGTGCTAAAGGCAGGGGTTTCTTTTGTTTTCTTGAGGGGGAAGGGTGGTATTTGGCGTGAGAACACCTAATTGAATGAAGTGTCCACAAGACATTTAACTGGAGACACCAGGAGTCAGGGGGAAATATGGGTTTGGAGCTCAGGAAAGGAAACAAAGGCTGAATATGGAGATGTGGAAGTCATTTGCATAAAGATTGTAACTGAAGTGATGAGTGTGAAAGCGTGGGGAGTGAGATAAAAGTGGGCTACCTGTCCCAGTGTCAGAAATGTGGGCTGAGGAAAAGAATTTGTCACAAGAACCTGAGAACAGATGTTTGAACAGAAATCCCCGCCTCCCCTGATGCATAGCACTGGTGCGTGATATCCACCGATTGTTAGTTGGCTTCGTGGCTTTCTCAAACTACAGAAATTAATATCTTTTGAGTGCCAAATATATATTAGGTATTTTGCATAAACTTTCTTAAACCTCAAGATAACCATGCCAAGTAGAAGTTATTTCCATTTTAGATTGCAAAAATTGAGGTTCAAAGAAGTTGAACTGCATAATCTAGGTTGTATCCCTCATGAAGGCAAGGGACATGTTTTAGTGCGTTCAGTGATCTTCACACATCATAAATCTGGTCTGATCATTTCATCCCCATACCCCACAAATCCTTCCATAACTTCCTCTTGTCTGCCTCATGGTAAAATCCAAACCCACACGTGGCTTCCTAGCCCTTCATAGTGTGTCCCTAGCTTCCTTGTCTCACCTTTCCTGCCTTGACCCCATTCTCCAAGCTCTCTCACACACCCCAAGCCGGTGGCTCACCACAGGAGCTAATAATCAGAATCCTGACATTCTCTGAGAACGCGTTTCATTAAGCGTGGGGTGGGGCCTATGACAAACACCTATATTTCTAAAAACTCTCGTGGTGAGTTTGAACTTCAGCTGGTATTGGGAACACGGCTTACGCATTAGTCCTTCAAGTCTCATGTCCTCATATGTGCTACTTGCACATGTGTCCATGCCTTTGCATGTGCCCTTTTTGTCTACTTTTCTATTAGTTTGGGAATTCTTACACATCCTCAGCTACTAACGAAGGTAACATTTTCTTTAATAAGCCTTTCCTGAACCTCAAGTCTGGGTTAAACTGCTCTTTCTATAATTCCCAGTTCTTCTATAATATAATAACACTTATCACTCTATGAAGTTAGTGGCTTATTTGTTTGACTTTAATGTTAAACACTTATGTTCCAAGAGGGCAGAAACTCTGTCTTATTCACTGTTGTATGCCCAGTGCCTATGCCACTTTCTAGCAGTAAGTACCTGCTCAATTAACATTCGTTGAATTTGATTATATGCAAACTCACGTCTACAAAAGGAATTTTCACTGACAGCATAACAAACTAAACTAAGCTTCCAGTAAATGTCGAAGAAAGGACCCAATCAGATTCTTCCCAAGGGTAAGGACAAAACTTTTTTCTCCATACCTTGTCTCTCCCAATTGCTGCGAGAAATGATGTCAGCAACATTGGATATTTGAATGCAATTTCTGATAGGACACATAAATTCTGATGTATTAATAAAATTATTTTGAACATATTTACTTGCCTTTTTTTTCTAAAATTCTACAATAAAGTTTTTATGTAATACAAAAGAAGTTATTTTACTTTCAACTGTCTTGTATACTGGCATCTTATTATACTTCTATGCATTCGATACAATCAAATCAAAAGATTATAAATATAAATTTATTAACCTTCGGTCAAATATCCAATATAACTTAATCCAAATTATTCTTTAAGATACTTAGTAGCAGTAGTTGTAGAAGTAGTATTCCCATGTTGTAGATGAGGAAAACCTCAGGCAAGTGAATTAATATGTGAAAAGAAAAATGATAAGTGGCAAAAGGTGAATTTGACTCCAGATCTGCCTGATCCCAAAGCCCCTCTACAATGTTGTGGTTATGTAAATCCTAACCATTACTTACTTGGTCCAAATGAGACTGTGAACATGTAAATGCAAAAGCAAAATAATGGCTCTTAGAATTTAAAGAAAGTTCAAAAGTATAGCCCAAAGGCTCAACTTTTCTAAGTGATGTTATATGTGTCAATAATCTAACACATTTTTCAATTACAAATTTATAGAACAATTTTTTTTCTCAAGGGACAATGGAGGAATTCTAGAAAGATGATGGTGACATAGTTTTTAATCTCCCTATAAAAATGGGGCAACTGGTATAACAAAACAAATAAAAGGACAACATATACAACAACACTAAGTGACAAGGTATCTATACCAACCCCAAAATACACACAGGTCAGGACAAACTACCAACCACTACAAAATCTGCATGTTCTAAGAAAGAGCTGGAATCTGAGTAGGGAAGGCTCAGAGAATGCCCCGAGAGCCAGGGAACAGAGTTGCCATCAGGTCTCACTAAAAAGCTCACAACAGCATCAGAAGCTGGCAATGGACTTTTCAGGCTGCGATTGATGGGTAAGTCTAAAAAAAATGCCACCAGGTCTGATAGTACTGAAGCGTTCTGTAGGTCTGAGACCTGTGAATTCTTAAAACTATAAACTAGAAGCCCTCTCCTTGGACAAAGCCCCTCGTTGAGGAGAAATTACTGGGGGTGGCATCCAACTTGAGCAAGGACAGTGGGATGAAGGGATGAGAAAGTCCAGACAAAAAGAGAGGAGGAAGCCCGAACCTACTCTCTATCACTGTGAAAATCACAGACATGAGATCTTGAGAACCATAAAATTAGAAATGCTACCCTGGCCCATCTCTCTCTCTCTAAAAGACCATGGAAACACATTTCACTTAAAAATGAGCAATATAGAAAGACTACAGTCAATTTCCATATGGAGTTATTATAAGAAAAAAATGAGCTCAAATAATTATAGAAGCAGTGAAAGGAAAATATGAATTAGGATTATTAAAGTGCATAAATTAGGTGATTAGTAAAATAAAACAATTTCCATAATGAATTAGAAATAAAAAAATTCATTTTGGAAATGAAGAGTAAACTAGAAGGAACACAAGGATAAATGAACAACACAGGCAATATTTTTAAATAAACAGAAGATGTGAAAACTCGAAAATGATGGAAAAAGAGCAAACGAAAAATTCAAGAGAACAAGTAGGCAGAGAAGATCTAACATATGTATAGTAACAGTCCCCAAGAAGGAAACAAAGCCCTAAAATAGAGCAAATTTTTAGAACTATAAATCAAGAAAACCGTTTCCTAAAATAAGTAAAACCTGAAAATATATGGAAAAGTCATCTTATATACCAGGAAAAGTTGGCCTAGAATGGGCTAACATAAAGACATATTCTAGTACAACTGCTAGACTTTAATAAAAAAGAAAAAAAATTCTTTGGTCGTTTAGGCAAAAAGACCAA